GGTGTAAACGTGGTAATATCACAGATCGTCTTGATTTAAGTAAATTAGAGACTGCTGGAAGTAATCCATGAAATCACCACTATGCGTGATCTACTGTGCACGAAACGGTACACGTCAACATAATGATACAATAGGAATAAAACAATAACATAGATTGACCAAACTCTTGTAGAGATTTCTAATAAAAGTGCCAGAAATTATCTTGGCAACAAATTCAAACTTTACTGTGTCTAAAGTGTCCCTGTCTGAATGGACACTATGTGCGATGCTTACGCAGCATGATCTTCAGGAGCGTAGACATTTTGGTAGGGTTGTGTTACTCTAGTTTAATATAAGCTTCGGTGATGACGAGCTTTGTTTCAAGAAAAGTGGTACCAAAGTCCTTATGACTAGTTAAGAAATTTGTTTGTTGAATCACTTCACCCATTTACGAATTACTAGTTGAACATGGGTCTGGGCGCAGATGTAATATTAGTTTAACTGTGATGCGCTAATTGTGACAGACAGGACTAATAAGGTTTAGGTTGTTTCCTGCGCATCAAGCATGGGACCTATCACTGAGGTGTCTGCACATCTGAGTGACCTTCGATATAAAGATACTTTAAACAAAGACATTTCAGAACTTCCATAGTTGAATTATGTGGTCAACAGATCAATATGTTATTCCAACAAGATATTATTCCCTGTACCAAATCATGCTCGATTTCAAGTGATCATATTTACGTCTTGAAATGAGTCCAGCTTGTTAAGACCACCTAGAAGAATAGCTTCGAAAGATTAGACCAAAGCTTTCATTAACTTGACAAGATTTTTTAAGTCAGTAATATATACATCAAAGACCAAGTGCGAAAATGACTATGCTACACTTTCTTAAATCAATGAACACTAATCTACTCAGAACACTACATTTGTGGGTAAACATTGTAATAGTTATGAGAAATAAGATGATTCTGTAACGAACCGTATTTAAACACTTTAAAGAAAGTTGTTCTAAATTGTTGTGTCTTTTCAGTAGAACAGTAAGATCAACCAAAGAACAGGCAGCAAGATGGAAGTTTAATCATTTGGACTCTAACAAGAACCAGGTAAAGTTTGAAGTAGTTTAAAAAAAGCATACGTTTCCTATTGTGCAATATTAAAACTGTACAAAAAAAAATATATAGGAACTTAATTTTCACAAGACATTCCCAACGTCAGTATATATCCAGTGTCACTGCAAGTTCATTAAAACCAATCAATCTATTTATATATATATATATGTGCCTGAACCTCGGGATTTCTCACCATGCTGTTTAGCTCAGGTGTCGCAAATACTAATATTTCTATTTATAGCTGAGAAACAAAATGGTTCTCTATTGTTTTCACTACATGGTCAAGGGTTGAAAATCCAGCTTACCCTGACATATATGACTGACAATATCTTGACATTACTTTGAGTGTTAAAATCGCTTAGTAAGGGAGGAGTTTAAAGACTGGCGATTCGTCCTGCTATGTAATTATTTATTTGTAGCAAAAGAAAACCAAGATTGTTTGTCGGAAAGGGAAAACTACTGTCGTAAAACAAAGTAAATTCCCGACTTCATCTTTTGTCAAAGCCCTTCATCGGGAAGGATCACGTTTTGACGTTTTTTTTTTTGTTTTTTTTATCAAGTAGGACTACGGCGAATGTGATAATATAAGTTTTGCATATATTGGACAGGTTTTGACCAAATATCCCACACTTTCATGTTTGTGCTCAATATATCCCGTTTAGAACAAACACGATGGTTCATCTTTTCTCTAATGTGTATTGGATTAGTGTGAGTCACAGGAAATGCTTAGGAAGTGCTCACATTGACATCACTAAAGATTTCAAATTATTTTACTAATAAGAAGTAGTAAATGGTCACAAAAAAATGAAATTTGTCATAATTTTGATATTTCGGTTTCTGAGAGCACGAGCATGTACAGACAAGATATCTTCCTTGCGGCGACTTGACTTAGTGAAAGCAATGATTAGAAGCTAGAAATTTTTTTCTGTTAATATTGAGACCATGAAATAACAAAAGGTTATCCTGGTTTTGTACGGTCTTTCACGATGATATAGTAACTTCGAATTCATTACATGCTTTGAAAATATGTATTCTAAATTACCCTAATTTTTAGTGGCTACACTGAAACTAATACTTCGTAACTTCCTCGAAAGGGGGCCAAAAGCCGCCCGGATGGGTCACATGTTTTAACCACTCGCACCACTGTACTGTAGTGTGTTGTCTGTCAGTCAGTCAGTAGAAAATAAAATGACATCAGAAATGGGACGCTTAACGTTGCAATTTGTACTGTCGTGATGTCAGTAAAACGTGCACATGCCATGAATCACGAGAATAATTATGTACTCTTTAGGGTACAACACAGTATGACATATGAACTTCAAAAGCAACAAATAAAAATATTTGCTACACTTAATTTTGGTTTTATTTACTCTTAAAACAGAACACTTTCTGGGACCCTGTGGAAGTACATCTAATTTAGTACAAATACTTTCGCAAAACATTTGTGAGAATTGAAAGAACTTAAAGTAAAATACACTTGAGTTAGAGAAATTCAGCACCTACAATTAGTGGTATGATGTAAAGAAACTAATAACTACAGTGTATGCTGTGAAACGCTAAAGTTTAAAGTTAAAATTATGATGATTTATAATCACATTATATTTGATTACATGAGCTAGTGAGAGAGAGGAAAATTTAAGTTATTATTAACTTCTGATCAAAGTAAGAGACCAACATAGATCATAAAAAAATTAACTTAGTAATTAAAACAAACAGTTTTCGCAAGGAGTATACAAGGTCAGAGTGTTATCAATAACTATGTACAAATTGTATTTTAGTTAATTACTTGTTATTTTAAATAATTTGTTTGTTTGTTGAATTTCGCGCAAGGCTACTTGAGGGATATCTATGCCAGCCGTCTTTAATGTTTAAATAATAGCCTAGAGGGAGAACAACTAGTAAACATCACCCATCACAAACTCTTGAGCTACTCTTGTAAGACCAAGTAGTGAGATTTAACGGTCGCTCTTTAACGCACCCACGGCCCCAAAGTGCATTACTGATAGGCTATTAAGACAAATCTATCCAAACCTTTTAGAGCCAGAACTAATTTTACTTGAATTGCTTCACTCTTTCTGTTTAGAATGTTTGTTTGTTTATATATTAATTTGATCATGTGTATTTTGAACGTTCAAATAACGAAAACATGCAGTTCTATTTTCACTAGATGATAGACAGAAAAAGCAAAGAAGGAAAACTGTTTAGGCGACAATGGAAATTCTTTAGAAAACCCCATAGAGGACGAAAAAGGCTGAAGAAATGTTGGCGAAATTTCTTGAGATTCTGTGACAAACTAGGGAACAACGACAAGAAAATCTCGCTAACGGAATGGCTGGAATGTACAGAAGTGAAAAAAGGTTGGAAAATTATGATTACTTGTTTAAGTATTATAGCATTGGATTGTTTATATAATAGGATATATTATTCTAACAGAGTAAAAGATAAACAGAAATAGTAAGAGATTACATTTGCTAAAATCTTGCTTTAGAAATGCGTGTTTTAAATACTACTGTGTAAGTCATTAAACAATGTATTATTCTCTTACAAGACATGATGTTACAGAAACGATTAAAATATATAACACTTTGAATGATACTGTGGGGGTGTTGTAACCCACCTAAACTACTCTATAAGTTATTAACCAATGTATTATTCTTTTATGATACTTGATGTTACAGAAACGACTAAAATAAATAGCACTTCTAATGATACTGTGGAGATGTTGTAACCCACCTAAACTTATGAAATACTATTTTTCAACGTTCTGTAACACTATTTTCTAAATACCTCTTCTACTGATACTGTAAGAGTGTTGTAACTCTCCTAAACTAATTGAAATCTGATATTTTTAACGTTCTGTAACTAGATTTTATATAGCACTTCAACTGATACTGTTGTGGTGTTATAACCCACCTAAACTAATAAAATAGTGCTATTTTCCATATTCTGTAACACTAATTTCCAAATAGCACTTCGACTGATACTGTGGGGTGTTGTAACCCACCTAAACTAATGAAATAGTATTATTTTCTATGTTCTGTAACACTAGTTTCTCTGACTGTGGAACCTGATGCAAAGTAATAAAAATCTTATTTGGACGATATGTTGTTCTAACTAGCCTAACATGCTTTAGTATTAAGCGAAAGACCTCGGTGGAAGAGCCTTCATCAGAATTGTGAATGAAATGCTAATATACGGTATTAAGTCAGTTAAAGATAATTTACTTTAAGAAAACATATATTACTGTCTTTCGTCATACTGATTACAATAAAGGAATCTGGCTTCATTACTTTATTACTAGATGATGATACAAGTATAAAGTATATAAATATGGTACATTATGGCTTTGTTTGTTTGTTGATAAGCATGAAATTACACTATGGGCTGTGCTTACCACGGGTACCGAAACCTGATTTTTGGCGTTAAAAGCCCCAGAGTTACCGCTGTACCACCGGTGATCAGGACACCGATGAAAATTCCAATAGTGAGCAGTCTTTGCTTGTTTTTCTATGACCATTAAGGGTAATTATAGAGAAATCAATGTGTTACAAAACTGGTAAAAAATGATCCTTCCTTAGGTTTGTAAGCAAATACACTGTGGTTGTATACAACATTTTTAGATACACGTTGGATGTTGACCGGTAAGATAATTGTGAACGTGCGAAGAAATAGACAAAGTTCACAACATATCTAAAATTAGGAAATACGAAAGTCTGGTTTTACTCTTAACTTAAATATATTTGATAAACTTTGTTACATTGTTTTGTAAATACTTGAGTTTTAAACGTTAGCTTTACAATCAAAAATAGTTGCTTATCCTTCAGAAACTAGTTTCATTATTATGTAGTAATGCACATATAATATTACTTGATAATAAATCTGAAAATACTGTAAACCGCACCATTCTTTACTGGTCTGAAAGACTTGGTCAACAAACGATGTGCAACAAACAAGGTATAGGTGAAGTGTTGTTATATACTCTTGTATATGGAAACACGTACTGGGTCATTAATTTACTTTGCATTTGTTTGTGATTAAGTACAAAGCTACATACTGGGCTATCTCTACTCTGCCCGCCACGGGTATCGAAACCTGGTTTCTAGCGTTGTAAGTCCGAAGAAGGGTCAATAAATAATGACGTGGAGTAAAAATATTGTTAGTATAAGTTCTGTTGTAGTGTTATGTTACACGATTTACTATTAAATGTCATGATTCAACAGCTAAGCTATTCTACACCCAAGACTTACGTGCCTGATGATATAGGGATTTTGGGAGTCTCAAGAAGGCATGGTGTGTTTTAAGTGAAAAAAAAAAGTATTTGAATTTAGAATACACTGTAAAACTTTGGTGAATGTCGACTTTTCCTGTTCTACAAATTTCCACATTTATTTTCCAGGGAAGTATCTAAGATATATATTTAATTATGTATTGTGCATCAAATATGCGTAAAAATCAATAGCTCATCAACACGGCACGCTATGTTGTAATACAGCAAACTAATGATTTTAATTTTTGCATAAAACGTTTCTGTATATTGAAATTCAAGAAACTTAAGAAGGTAGTTTGTATCTCTCGTAGAACGTGAAGTAAGTAATATAAACGTGTAGTTAACTGACAATAATAGAATCTTTTTACAGTGAAATGTGTGGCGAACTTCAATTCGTCATTTTACTCGCTTCATTATCATAGAAATTTAAATGTTACATTTTTAGGGGGTTGTATTGTTTTATTTTACATTAAACCTACTTTGTTACTAGCATATCTCACGACGAGTCAGTTTAATTCTAAAACTGATTTGGCCAAAAAATTACCTAGAAAAAATAGCAACAAAGCTTTATTAGTGTTTTTGGCATATCGCATTATAGCAACGTTCTTTCCATCTTAAATACGTGTATTATTTTGTTCTGCAATTAAAGATAACCTGATTTAATATTGTAGTATGTATACGTTAAGGGTAACTGCTCTTTCACGACTGCATAGATTTTTCCTGTTAATTCTTCTTCCTTCCTTATTCTTCTAGGAAAACTGACAGGTTATATAATGGAACGAAGACAAGATCTGTGATTATGATATTGTATCTGTAGTAATAAATCCCGACCAAAAGTATACTAACTATAAAGATAAGAATTAAAAATAACTTATATTAAGCTAGTTTTATATAACAATCTGATGAGACGAATATAATTGCGGTATTTTTAGATAAACCAATTTTCCTACAAGTTTCTTTGATTTTTGTTTGAAGTTAAGCACAAAGCTACACAATGGGCTATCTGTGCTCTGCCCACCATGGGTATCGAAACCCGGTTTCTCGCGTTATAAATTTCCTACAAGTATCAAAGAGTTAAATTTGCTAATAATAGCAGGTTCAATCAGGAAATAAGGGGAGTAATCTGAATCTGATAACTTGACGGACTTTTCCTAATAATTGTGTGTGAAATAATGAGATTGGACAAAATGTACACAATCTTTATCATAAAACAGACAAAAAGAAAACACAGTGTACATACTTGCGCACACAAAAAGACGGTCACTTTTACTGGAACGTTATTAGCTCCATAGCTTTCTGTCGATCTAGAAACGATTATCTTAAATTAGATTTTTATTCGAAGAACTTCAGATAGAAAAGTAATCTAAGAAAGAGCACTTGAATGGAACAAGTAAACTCGGTTCCTTTGTCCAGGCGACAACGTCGCCTCGTGATTTTTGTTCTCTCACAGCATTGACCGGCTGTAGCATCTAGAAAGCGTCATGTCAGTCAGCAAAGGATATTACAGTCGGTAATCCTTTCAATCCTGATGCTATATGTTACTGCAATATCCTCTTGGGCAGAATAGGCATTATCTACTATAGAGAACAAACAAAGAAAGCAATTAGAATAAGGCATTCTTAACGTTTTTCTAGACCACGTATTTATGCTAAAACCGCATACAAACCAAATACATGATTTTTTTTTAAATTCCTATACCATTACAGCAGTTAGAAAACATATGATATGCCTGTATATCACATAATGTTGAAAATCAAGACATAAAACTCAAATCGATAATTAAAATGCGTTGAAGCATCAGTTTGGTACCTTTAATATTAAATAAATTTTATGCCATTATTCTAATGGCTCACAAGATTCTGTCAGCTTAAGAGATTTAAATTAGTCTTAAATTCATATACTAAGTTAGCAAAATAAACTTTGTACATATGAAAAAATTAACAATAAAAACTATATTCAAACCTTTGAAACATCATAACCGCTACTATTAATTACACCGTTTTTCTTTACACTTAGCTCTTGTTATTTCAATATGTTAATGGGGTTTTATTTTTTCAATTCTGGACGCCTTATGCGTAGGGGGTTCTGAGTACACTTAACAATACTTATAACAACGCATAACAGATGGCAAGATTCCTTGAATTCTGTTCACCAGACCTGGCAACGTTTTGTAGTTAGAGCGCTCGAATCATGATCTGCGGATCACGGGATCGAAATTCGTTGCCGAACTTGCATGCTATTTCAACTGTGAGGACATTATGATGTAACGGTCAATCCTATAGTTCGTTAATAAAGAATAGCCCAAGAGGGCGGTAAGTGCTCGCTGCTGGCCGGTTGCGTTACCTGTGGTTGCCAGTTCAAAATTACGGTTGATGGAAGGTAGCCTTAGTAGTTTTGCCATAAAACAAACAAACAAACAACCTGTTCACCGATTTATTTTTTCATCTTTTGCTTTTGCAAATCGTAAGTTTATTGATAAGATAAAGTGTCTTGAATCCGATATAACAGACATAGTTTCGTTTGGAATTTACTTTCTGATGAAGTATATTTTGTTAAAGGTTACAGCTTTTACAGTAAGGAGTGTTATTTTTTCGATCACTACTAAAACCTCTTTACCGATAAAAGTTGTGTACTTGATGAGGATCGCACCAGTGATCGGAACGTTGTACCTGTTCTAGAAAATAATCTTCCTAACTGTAAAAGCTGTAACTTGTAATAAAATGATAATCAAAACGTTTGATGTTGTTGTTTGGTTTGGTTTTTTTGTACCAAAATTGAGGAAAACAAACAAACTCATAAACGATTTTTCATTTTATAAAGTATATTCAAGAACGATACACAAATTTGATGTTCAGTTTTGTAATATGCCTTAATTGTATCTACTCTTTTCTTATTTTGATTCTGAAAACTTCACTTTTTTTATTTCCTATCAGGGGACATGCCCGAAAACTTAATATCGAAGCTAGAAGGGCCTCATCCATTTATAGGTTTATTGAAAGCTCGTTAGATTAATCTTCAAGTCCCTTCCAGCCATCTAGCGGAAGAAACAAGAGAACGTTGAGAAATAATTATTTGTCAATTAAAATAATACAAATTTGTGTACCAACTGAGACCAGAATTAGAAAATAATTAAATGCTCGAGTTTTTGAAATTTTTTGAAGGGAAGGAACGACAAAAACTGAATGGCCGATTGTTGTAACAAATATGAGGGCTAAGCGAACATTTCAAAGAGATTTATATGTCTGACGAAAGACATCTTTGGCAAATGTTACATTTTATGAGTGTCATACTTAAGAATATATATATAGAATTAACGAGCATAAAAGAAAACGTCGGTGACGTGGCGTTTTGTTTTTAATACTTAAGATGGTTGTCTTTGGAAAACTTTCACATACTCTTGCATCATTTTCGAATAAGATCTACATTTAATTAATGCAAAGTCAGCGATAGTTAAACTGTGAAATCTGACTTCGATGTCGCGCAGTATATAGATTCTGTAAAGGTTTGAGCAATACTCGTGAGTATGAAAAACAATTCATCAACAGTTGCACCAGAAGAAGATTGTAACTGGACAAATTCTCTAAAACAGAATATTTTACCCTTTAAATTTTAGAAGTATGTGAACTAGAATTAAAGTAAAAACTTTCAACACTCTTATAAACTTTGTATGGAAGAATCTAGATCTGCTGGATATATATATATATATATATGCATTTATAAGCAGAGCGTTATATTCCAAACATAATTACAAATTAGTAATTATAATAATATCTGTGTTTTTTATTTTATTTTATCACCGTTTCGCTTGTATTAGTATAGCACAAAATAACGTTTTCTTCTTACTATAGCTATGTCCAACGTTTGATGATGATTATGAACAACAATTATAACATAAGTTTTTAGCAATTAGTTTATTGTAGACTAGTTAGTAATATTTATTAAATTTATTTTTAGAGCTTAAGAATTTTTGTTAACGCTCAGAATCTTTACACAAATACCAACAGGACTTCGTAATACGTGATCGTTAATGAAGATAAATCGTTTGTGTAAAGATTTATTTCCAATGAAACGTTTTTCAAATGCCATAGACTATAAACATTTGAAAGAACTGTGGCTAATCTCAGCTAATAATAATATTAGCCTTGTGGCTTAACTTAATACTCAGCTAATGATAACATTAGTCTTGTGGTTTAGCTTAATACTCAGCTAATGATAATATTAGTCTTGTGGCTTAGCTTAATATTTTTAAATGACCATTTTTAATACTGCTAAAATAAACATGTTTGTTTACCTTAAAAACAATTGTTTTTATGTAAAACAAATTTTTACATGTAATCATACATGATCTAATTACACATGATATTAAGGAGAACAAGCCTTGAAGTAATTGTTTGAATGAAATTGGTTTAAATCTTGCTGCTGTAGGGGTGTGGGATTTTATTGTATTATGTCTTGGTGTCATCGGTCATAAATACACGGTATTTTAATTATTCTCAAGATGTTTTTGTTATCCATACCGTTAGTAGTGAATGTATGTTTATATTCATTAAATTCATACTTTTACTGGAAAACAAATTAGTTTTAAAATGATGTAATGATGAATTACTTTCCAAATGATTGTTTTTATTATTAGAAAGTCTCAGAAGCAAAAATGTTATTGAAAAACTATTGAAATGTCCATTTTATATAAATAACTATAACTTTGTACAGTTTTTTAGTGATAACTATTCTGTAGGATTTTTGTTGTGGAAACCAGTCTCACTAATGTAAGGAATCCAGCTCACACGGTAAACTTCAGTAGGAATGAAACTGTCACGTGATTTAACCTTAAGTTAATAGCATTTGAGTGAAAAATAAATTGTTATTACCAATTCAGAGTTAACGTGCTTTGTTATTAATTTCAAATGGAAAAAAAAAATACTTGTGGTTTGATTTTTACAGATAACCATCATTTGTTACGTACTTTAATTTAAATATTTTAACAATTTATTTATAGATACTAACAAAATTTACCTTAAACATATGAGAATAAATTGATGTGAAATTTTGGTCGCACCAGCAGTTTGATAACACTTAAAAACTAATTCAATGGCAGGCAATACAACATTGCCTTCCTCCACATTTTAATCAACAAATAATACAAAAAAGACCAAACTAACTGAGATTAATTTTTGTTTTCAATAAATGATATGATACTAGCATTAATAGTTTCATTACAAAGTCGTGATGCTCCAAGTAAAGATTGCAAAATGTGTTACTTTTTCTCTTTTTGTGTGCTTTTTATTAAGTCAAAGCTACACAATGGGCTATCTGTGTTGTGCTAACCGCAAGTATCGAAACCAGATTTTTAGAGTTATAAGCCCTCAGACTTGCCGATGAGTTATCGGGGATGCAATTTATTATTTAAACCTCAGAAATAAGAAATAATTTGGATAAGCAAATATTGTGATGAAACTTTTTTATTAAATAAACGGGTGTATTTGAATAGCATTTAAATCTCCAAATGTTGTTAGTTTAAGATCGGTCTCATTTTATCATTAGCAATAAAAAAAAAGAGATGTCATGCTATAATTGATTATTTTTCAGGCTTTCTAGAAGTACGCCCATTTATACTGTTGTAACGTGTTCTTTCGTTAAGCGGGTTCTTTAAAATTACTTTCTGAAAATAACGCAAAGTCCAGTTTATGATACTATAACTAACGTACAAATAAACTTACTTGTACAATTTCACGGTTAATCGATCGAGTAATGAATACACGCAATGTCTAACACCGATCTCAGTACTTCACCAGCTTCTCCATCACTGGACAAATTACTTTCTGAAAATAACGCAAAGTCCAGTTTATGTTACTATAACTAACGTACAAATAAACTTACTTGTACAATTTCACGGTTAATCGATCGAGTAATGAATATACGCAATATCTAACACCGATCTCAGTACTTCACCAGCTTCTCCATCACTGGACAAACAGAAAAACCGACTAAGTGTTTCACTGATTCTCATATTTATAATATATCCTCGTTTCTAGATATTTCACAAATTCTCTTGATCATTAACATTCATGAACACTCTAGTATTCTAAGATTACTTGTATAATCTTTGTAAATCTAGCATCTTCATTATGTTAGCAGCTCCATCTAGCAAACAAATAAATTAAACATTAAAAATATAATGTACAACAATATAAACCTTGTGGTGGGGTCCACATATTTATCCATTTGTAGATGAAAAGTGATATCATATTTTTAAGTATGCAATTCTTAAAATGAGAAAAAAAGAACACTGATAATACAATTAAACACACATCTTATCTTTTACTGTGGACAGACTCCACTCAAGATTGAAGCTAATTTCTGTTTAGCACATTATGATTGTTGCCGTACATATGGTAATAATATAACTATTGATTTCTTAAACACATCAGACTTACTCTCTAGGGATGGATAGTTTGTATCCAATGCAGGCAAACATTACGTTTTATACCTCCTCATTTTAATGCAGATAATTTCAAGTAGTTTCGTTTATTCTGAGTTTATGCAGCTTTTTTTTTTCATAACAGTGTCCAGGAAACTGTTAAGTTGACTTTTCTAGCTCTCTTTGTCCCTCTGTTGTTCTATAGACATAATGATAGCTCTGGACGCAGGGGATAATTGTGAAGCATTGCAGGATGTGCAAGATGGTGAGCAACAGCAGTGTCCTTCACTAGTAAGACATGATTTCTAGAAGTTACAGCTTTCTTTATGTTGAATGAGAATGACTAGTCACGTGATAGCCACTAAGGGTGAATCTAATGTTTCCCATTTAGTAGAAACATTAAATTTCAATAGTACCACACAGTATCTCAAGTAACATCGTTAGAGAAGAAAGCCAGTTGATCAATTTTCAAAACCAGGATAAGATGAAAATTCAGTGTCCCATTGCAAGGATGCACACATATTTTTGTCTTTAACATGAATATTTTTTATTTAGCATAATAAATTGTGCACAGTTTGTTTATTTCTTTGCCTGAACTCTTTTGTTTAATTAAATTCAGACTGACTTTGTAATTTAACCAGCCCAATCATCCTATTATAAAGCAGATCTACCTAATGCTCTTTGAGAAAATCAGTTTAACCTGAGACTGACATATAGTAGGTAGGGAAGTGAACTGCTGTTGCCGCGACCATACGATTTTATTGTGAAGTTTTCTGTTTTTGCTAGTGTATATATTGCCCTTACTTGGACTCGTGAGTTATTCGAGCTTAAAGGAATTCTTCTTATTGACAAAATGCAAGTAGAAGTGCTCAAGACCGAGATGGGGAGTTTGCCACTGAAAAACGATGGTTGTATGACAGTGGTATTCAATATAGAAGAAGCCCTCTTTTAGAAAAGACGTTTTCTGATGTTGTAAAGGTCTTTTACATTGACTCTACGCAACCATAGATTCAAGAAGATCAGTCAACGTATTGTGTATGTAGAGCAGCAGGTCAGCCTCTAAGGATCTATCTGAACACAGGAGAAAAATGAATTACAGTGTAACACAGTCCCAGCTCTAGTCAAGACCATTTAAGAAGAGATAGGAAAGACTGGATGGGCCACTGGTGGACGAACTCCACCAATTAGAGATGTTTCCTTGGCAGGTGAAACAGAAAAAAGAGCATGAACCATGGGAGAGTCATAAACTTCTCTGAGCTAGGAGGTATCCTACCAGAGTGATCATGGATCATAGGAAGCTTGTGATTATGCAGAACCTCAGGTTGAGCTGTCAAGAGCAACTTGTCATTCTTCCATGATGGACCAGAAATCATTACTTGTCTGAGTGTCAGAGTCCTTGAGTTTGCATACTTCCCAATACCTCTGACATTGGTAGCATGCCAGCTTAATATTGGCCAATAACTCAGAAGGCCATCACCACACATCCAAGAGAGGGGAACCAAGCATATTTCATCCCGATGCTCAAAGATGGAATAGAAGAATATCTGAACTATTTCCTGGGGCTTTTGAGTCAGACATGTGCTTGGAGTGGCTGGACTCAGGAGCAAGCAGATATAATACCTAGTAAGTCAATAGTTTGCACAATTGAATATTTTAGTCCGAAGTTCAAAAGCTCAGTTGAAAAGGTGTTGTAACCCTTGATGTCTGAGCTATTTAGTAGTATGAGAAGGTATAATGTATGCTCTAAATTGTATGATTAATACTTGATCAATTATAAGCTAGAACAGTTGGATCTAGTAGATGAAAAGCCAAGTAAACACAACTGAAGATAGGTGCTAGGAGTTTAAAACGTTAGTTGAAAGGATAATGCGACCCTTGATTTCTGAGCTTTAGTTTGTATGGTAAGGCACAATGTATTTACTCATAGTATGATAACCACTCAGGTTTCATAACCTAGGACTACTGGAGCTAGGTCATGTAATGCCTAGTACATCAATAGTTTGCACATCTGAAGATATTAGCTAAAAGTTTGAAAACTCAGCTGAAAAAGTTTTGCGACCTTTGCTTTATGAATCATCAGGTGGTATTTTATGGTATGATGAAAGCACTACATTTTGTGATTGTCACTTGATTTACTTCATAAGCTAGTACATAAATGTAATTGAAAAATAAATGATTGAAAGGTCATTGGTACCCTTTATTTCTGAGCCATTGAGTGAATTTTCTAATGCTAAATATCATCTGATGTTTTGAGAGAATCGCTTACTCCATCTAGATGAGTGGCAAGAACTCTAAGAAGCTTGCTGCCTAGCACTTGCTAGGTTCTTCCCTACATACCAGGAGAGTATGTTGATTCAACATAGAAAGGAGTTGCATTTTTAGTGTAATCTGACATACTGTAGTAACAGTACAAGCATTAATCCTGGATGATGAACATTTTAACTGAAACGTTTTAGTTCGGCTGAAACATGACAGTGATTATTCGTTTTATGATGCCTTAGATGAAACATTATATACCCTAGACGGCAGCATATAACAAGACCATTGCTACTGAGAAGAAGCTTCAGAAAGTAATATGAGAAAATTATCAAAGTAATTTAAGGGGAGAACAGGAGCAGTTTGTTATAAGCTACTAGAGTGCGTGAATGTGTATGGTCTTGCATGCTTATAAGAACATTGTATAGCATGAATGGATCAGTTACAAAACAGTAAGCAGCATGTGCTTGGAGAAAAAAAAGATTTGATTTGGATGTTAAGACTTTATGATACGATGTTAACTGTGATAGTTAACCTGGAAAGTATTATTTGAAAATACAGTGCACCTGTCATTCTTACTAATAATAGTAAGAGAATGCTACAATGTTGGCATTGAAATAT